TCAACCGTTCAAGAATGTCACTGTGACGTTATTTTTGCACAAGATAGCTGATATTTCTTGAAAACCAATATTTATTAGGCACGTCTTAAATGAAAAAAAAAGTGTTACCATTGATTTTTCATTTTTATGGGTCACAACGAGTGCGGCCGTAGTGAAATACTTTTGGGTTCAGTGCCTTGAATTTGAGCGGCATACACATTGAGTGGAAGGTAGTACCGTGTTCGTGCGAATGTTAGCCACAACGCTTCAAGGCTGCTATGGTGCATAACGCTTATGGTGCATTCAGACGACGGACCGAATCCGGATTTGTCGTGGACGCGGACGGCTAATCCGCGGATGATCCGCTTGCAGACGCATCCACACGACGGACAGTGTCCTGGGAGAAAACAGCCGGATTACCCTCGACAGCAGGTTCGCCGCTCACCTGCGCCCGCTGAAAGCAGACCGGTTTGAGAGTATTCAACATGGATGCCCGCAAGAAGCGACGCTTGACTGCGATGTCTGTCGCATTGTGACAAATGAACGAGGAGTGTTATTGTGTCAGGAGAAAAGGGAGTTGCTGGCAGAATGTTCTTTCAACTACACTTTTCCCCACTTGTAGAACTTCTGAACGCGTCTCCCATCTTTTTTTAGAAGTGGCACGTCACCGGTTGCAGAAGTTGGAATATTTCACCATCATGACGGCTAAGAATCTCGCGTGTCAGACGACGGCGGCGACATTTCCCGAACCACCAAAAGTGATTTCTGCGTATTTAATAATCTGAGAACAAAGTCTCCGGAAACTAAGTGAACAATGCTCAAGCGTAGATGATGCCGACCAGTCATGCAGCTGTCCGCGAGCCATGGAGGACATGCCGCGAGCCATGGAGGACATGCCGCGAGCAGACGAAAAGTGTACTGGTTGCCAGAAACCCCGAGCTAATCCGCTGAAGTATCGGCTTTCTCCCGCCAGAATCCCGATGTGAGAAACAGGTTGGGTTCATCCGTCCGCGAGCCGCACGGACGAGTCGCGGACGAGGGAAATCGCTGATGTGAGGTCACGTGACGCTCCGTCCGTCCCGCCACATCCGGATTCGGTCCGTCGTCTGAATGCACCATTACAGTGACGATTTGAGGCAAAATGCATAACCGATGGTTTCCGCTGCGAAGACCACGTGCGCGAAATTGAATTCGCAGAGACAGAAGCGGCACGTAACAGGGGGTGGTGGTGGTGGTGGTGGTGGTGGTGGTGGTGGTGGTGGTGGTGGTGGTGGTGGTGGTGGTAGTAGTAGTAGTAGTAGTAGTAGTAGTAGTAGTAGTAGTAGTAGTAGTAGCAGTAGTAGTAGCAGTAGTAATACCGACCCTCAATGTTTGGTATATTAGGCTTACTCTCACTTTTGATTTACGTTAACGACGTTTATTCAGCAATTCATTGTTTCTCTTTTCTCTTGTAGGCCGATGAAATCTAGATATTTAGGGCGATTCATGGAGTTAACGATTGTCGCTTGTCACAGTCAGACATGCGTTCATTCTCTGAATGGTGTGACAACAATAACTTTTCCCTGAATACCCCAAAGACTAAGTGCATGAGTGAATCTCGCAAAACGTCCATCATGTCATTTCCGTACCTTGTCCATATCGTGTCGTTATGTAAGGTTTATGAGTTTAGTGATCTTGGTGTTCTTTTTGATAGCATGGTCAACTTTTCTGCTCCCACTAAACGTATTGTCACGCGAGTCCTTCGTTTTCGCGGCTGTGTTTGCAGGATCTTTCGAGAATTCAGTTCTCATACAGCCTTCCATAAATTGTACACCGCAGTATGTCTTCTTTATCTTGAATATGCATTCGTAATCTGGAATGACATCGCTAAATCTGGCAGTGACGCCATTGGCGAAGTGCAGAAAAAGTTGATAAGCATTTACAACCATCACTTCAATAGCAAAGACTCGATGTCATTCTAACACTGCCAGATTATTATCACTACCCCCACTTCTCTGCTGACGAAATCGCACTGACCTCTTATTGCTTTTGAAACTATAGTTCACGATATGATATCCTGCCCCTTGCTTCTCAATTGTGCAAGTTTTCGGATTCCGTGTAAGTTAACCAGAGAGAATCAACCATTTCATGTACTCGCCAACGTCTTTCGACACTCTACTGTTCATAGAATACAAATCATATATAATGTTAACTTTCATGATCGTGATGTTTTTCACAGTCCACTGTCATTGTTTTTATATCAACCTTGCACCATCTTAAGCTAGCTTCATACAATGTACAGATTTTTCTATTTTCGGTTTTTCAAGAAGCTTTCCACATAGTTGTTTATATTCCACTTTATTTCTCAGTGCCATTCCACGTTCCTCGTTTTGTATTTTATTCTTCCCATTGTGCGCTTATTTCTTTTTGTCTGTGCGTTTTCGCTCTTTTTATTTGATTTTCTGTAGATTGCATTGTTTTTATTGTTTTATTTTGCGTGCGCCTGCACGAAGACCTTATAGTTGTTCCTGGGCATGTTAAATGAATTATTATTATTATTATTATTATGATTATTATGATTATTATTATTATTATTAATTTGTGAGAGACAATTTTACACTTGTGAAAGAGCTGGACAACTGAGGGCTTAATGTCAAAGGCTGTTTGTATCTTCTGCCAACCCCTCCCCTCTTGCGTAGTACACACACACACACACACACACACACACACACACACACACACACACACACACACACACACACACACACACACACACACACACACACACACACACACACACACACACACACACACACACACACACACACACACAAGTACATACAACCAAGTACATACACACACACAAGTACATACGTGTGTGGCCGTAGTCCGTCCCCTCCTCCATCCTAGCGCAAAAGCAAAACACCTGCGTCCTTTATCTGTCGAGTGCTTGTATAGCACACGCAGCACATTCAGGGAATTCCCCATATCTCTAGGCAACACCTTATATGTTACTAGTGATAATGGCTTTGACAATGAGCCGTTTGTACGATAAGCTTCTTTCCCTTGTTTCTCCCCAATGTGAATCCCGGCTCGTCCTGCATAGCATGCCCTTATTAATGGCTATGACTCATGGGGCTGTACGCTCGTTTTGTTTTTCCCTCGAGCTAGCGCGTAGACACGGCTGGCCTTTTCTGCGAAAGCGATATTGCGGCACCGCGCCCCAGGAAAAAGTCACCGTTACTTGTCCTGGCAAGCAGTGTTTTGGAGTACGACTACGCAACGCTGTCCGCATCCGCACGGTTTGCCCTCGGAGAAAACGTCGAGGACACGGCTCCCTCCCATTTTCTCCCCCAGCGCGAAGAAGGGAGAAAAACGGGACGGCGCTCATTGTTTGGGTTGCAAAGGCCGTCGCTCCGGTAACCCGGCCAAGCGGATCCCGAAACCAGGAAGGAGAGCGTTTCTGTAGAGAGAAAGAGAGAGAGGGAGAGTGATCGCGTTTGAGGCAGAAGAGACAGCCCACTTATTTGGCGTCATCGCACCTAGATGGCGCTACAGTAGCGAGTGACTTCTGATCTAGTTTGCCATCGCCGCAAGAGGTGGCTCTGCGTTGATTCCGCGTTTGCTGCTGAAAAAACGAATAAGTTCTGTTAGTGTTTCCTCAAATGAAAACATTACGGTGCCTGAGACTAAAATTACCGAGGTTCTGATAAGAACAAAATGGGGAGAAATGTTGGGCGTATATATGCCGCGGCAAAGAGTCGCGTACCGCGTAAGTAACGGTTGCAGTCCAGCGTAAAAGCATCGAACAAGCAAAACTCGAGTGCGGACCTCAAGACAGAACACGAAAGAAAGGTTAAAGAATGAAATAGCGCACTTTCAGCGGCAGGAGTACGGTATTTCTGGAGCCCCAGGCGCGCCGTGGCTGGGCGGCAGGCCTAGCGCCCCCGTCGTCGTGGCTGCTCCTGGAAGGTCGACTTCTCCCGGAAGCGATGCTCCGTGCGGAGCGTCTTGAGAAGTCGCCTCGACCGTCGCTCGCGTGGCTCTGCGGCGGTGCACGCTTTACAGGGGCGGCTCTCGCTCCACGTATTGACGTGCGTCCCTGACCTTGCCTCGGTTCGAAGTGAAAGGGGGGAATGTGAGGCGAGGTTTGTCCGCGGCAGATCGGCGGGCGCGGGGCGCTCATAATTAGGAGATCGATGGCCGTTCGAAGAGTAGGAGGGATCGGCGACCGCGTGGTTTCGGAAGACCGCGTGTCGCGCGTAAACACAGCGGCGGCCGTGTCGGGCTATCCCCGTCGCAGCGCGCGATGTTTGGACGGACACGTACCGTGGCGGCGGCGGTCGGGGTGCTCGCGCCTGCCTGCGTTCATGGGTGGCGATGCCAGCAGTGGCAGCACCGCACGGGTTGCAACCCCGCGGCGCATGCGCAGACGGGGCGCGCTGCGCCGCGGCGCTGCGTTCGGCGTCGCGGCGGAACACAGAGGCAAGATGGCGCCGGAGCTCAGGCCACCCGTCTGTCGAGGACACAAGTGAGTCGTCCCGGAATCGCTGTACCCCGGGCTTCCAGCGGCAACCGGCAGCACCGTGGGAGGAACGCGAAACGAGTGAGCTACCAGCGGCGTCGATGGCGGTCTGATTGGCAGCGGGCCCGGGCCCACCGCGAGAGGCGAAGAGCATGGACGAAAACAGCGGTGGTTGCCTGTCCCCGGAGGAGGCGGCAGCCGCGGCTGCTGGGACCGACGAGGAGGAGGGGGCGGAGGAGGCGGTTCGTGACGGCGGCGAAGAGGTGGTCTCCTCTCCCTCTACGGTGGCCGTGGTGGTAGCGGCGTCCCCCGTCAGCCCCCAAGAAGCTGTGGTGGTCGCCGAGGAGGAGGATGACGACATAGAAGAGGGTGAGGAGGACGCGGAGCGGCATGCTGCTCGCTCGCCGCTCGACGCCGAGCAGTCGCCCGAGCTGCTGCAGGCGGCCGACCTCTCGGTGCGCGACGACTCGCCGTGCGGCGAAGTCGGCGCCGACGAAGACGACCTCGACGACCCCGTGAGTCCCGCCTCGTCGACGGGCATGATCGACGCGTCCGAGTTCCGCGGGCTCGACCCGGGTTCCTACCCGGGTCGCATGTCGCCCGGCGGTTTCTCGAGCAGCAGTTACGCGACGCTGACGCCGCTGCAGCCGCTGCCTCCGATCTCGACCATGTCGGACAAGTTCTCCCACTACGGTCACCACCACCAACACCACCCGGGGGCCAACGGCGGCTTCGCGCCGCTCGCCATGGGCATGGGAGGCTATTCGCAATACGACAAACTTGGTGCCACCATGTCCGGAGCGATGAACATGAGCCCGCCGCACGGCACAGCGCCCATGCTGGGCGCCGGCTCCGCTCTGCCGTCGCCGCCTCCTTACTCGCAGAACGGCCTGAGCGTCGACAAGGGACTGAACGGATACGAAGCGGCAGCAGCGGCGTCCTACGGTGGATCCTCGGCGCCACAGAGAGAGCTCACGCGGCTCGGATCGCCCCAGTCGCCGACGAGCCTGCACTCGCCCATGCTGCCGGCCCTCAACGGCCTGTCACCCCACACGCCTCCCCAGGCGCACTTGGCTGCACCTGCCACGCCGCCGCAGCCGCCACAGCCGCCGCCCGCGCCGCAACCGGAACCGAAACCGGCGCGGGTGTTGTTGCCCGTGGTGAGCAGCAACGCTCTGGGACAAGTGGTCGTGTGCGGAGCCAGGGCGTCCGTGGTGTCGTCCAGCCTGGTGCTCAGTCCGACCAAGGCGATCCACCCGGCCGCGGTGGTCACTCAGCAGGTCGCCCACCCTCAACAGCAGCAGCAACAGCAGCAGCAACAGGCGCAACAGCAACATGCGGCCCAAGTGAGCGGCGGTGCGTCCAGTCCCGCCGACGAGGCTGAGGAGATCAACACCAAGGAACTGGCGCAGCGCATCAGCGCCGAACTGAAGCGCTACAGCATTCCACAGGCCATCTTCGCGCATCGTGTGTTGTGCCGCTCGCAGGGGACTCTGTCGGACTTGCTGCGCAACCCGAAACCCTGGAGCAAGCTGAAGTCGGGCAGGGAGACCTTCCGCCGCATGTACAAGTGGCTCGAGGAACCCGAGTTCCAGAGGATGTCGGCGCTCAGGCTCGCAGGTGAGTAACTGTGGTGAAATGCGTTCTCTCAGCTGAGCACTTCGTGTGACGCGTCAAGTTGCATTCGATGATTCGTTGTTATTTTCGTACGTCCACGTTGCGCAGTCGTCGGTGATGAACGTCTGGAGCCAGCATACCGAGTCATAGACGACTGTGGTTGATTGTGCTTGGAGTTTGTTGAACCTATAGTCCTGCCCGTCTCGTCGAGAACCCGCGCGCTGTGGAGAAGTCTTCGTGCCACGCAGAGCCGAGAAGAGCACGTGGACTGGAGCTGCTGCTGGTCGAGAGGCGAAGGCTCACCAGGCGGGAATCAATCCATCATTGATTTGCACGTGCGGGCGTGACCTCCCCTTCCGCGTGTGGTGCGTCCTCCCCTTTGGGTCGAACTCGTCGATGATTCCTGTTCCTTTCTCTGGAGCACTTCTTCCGTCTTTTTTTTTTACTTTGCCCAACCCGCCGCCACCCCCGCTCGCACACATCGAAAATCAGCCGGTCAACGTAGTGCTGACGTGCCACCCGGCACTTCTAGATCCATGCTCGCGTGTTTCCGCTTGACACACACGTGTGTACGTACAGTATGGATCTGAGTCCTCCTTGTTCCTGGGTGAATGGAGCTTTGCGTCAGATGGGAGGCGTGTCGAGAGCGGACAGTCGATCGGTTTGTTGTTGTTGTTGTTTATGAATGAAGTTTGGCGCTCACATTGGTTAGTACCCAGTAAGGTTCCCGACTGTTAGTCGGTATGCGTACGCGAGTTGATTGTTATTGTTGTGACGCTCGTTCGTTGTTGTCCCCGATGTCACACAGTGTTACGTAAACATCGCGGCGACAGTACACGTGCTTCAGCGACACACGGCATTAGGATTACAGGCCACACGACAACTATCTAACGCTCCTCAAAGACGCGACGCACCCACTGTTTAACAAGAATAACGCAGTTTCTAGCTTAAATCGAGCGTCGCTTATGCGTCCTCCAGCGAACGTTTCGATTCTCGTTTCGAATCTCCCGCGCCGACAGGACGGAATCCCAGGCAGACGCTGTCGCGCCTTTCAAAAAGCGCGCGCTCTCGCGACCCACCACGTGTCCGTTTTCCCGCGTTTACGCGAGCGAAAGTAAAAGATAGACACGACGCTTCCAGCAAGAAAGCGCGCGAACAGTTCGCCACTGCCGGGAGAGCGCGCGTTTTCTCTTTGCTGCCAACGGTTCCCTTTTTTTCACCCCTCACTGCCGGAGCGCATCCCGGTTTTCCTTCCTTCCTGCCTTCGGTCGCGAGCTCTAGCGGGCGACGTGCTGCTGCGCTGAGGCAAAGCCCGCTTCCCGGGAATGCCCCGCGCTCCGACCGCTAAAACTGGGGCGCCTGCGAGCGAGCGAGCGAGCTGGGCGGGCGTATCACACACACACACACTCTTTTTCCGTGACTCACAACCGGGTGCTCCCTCCGAAGCCCGCTACGAGAGCTTCGAGGTCTTCATTTTCTCTTTATATCGGTCCCTCGTCGAGCGAACAAGTGCGCCTCGAATGCGCGTCGCGTCGGTGGGGCGAACGAAACAACAACGGATGCGCGCGGTAGGAGCGTTAAAGAAAAGGGGTTTGTATACTCCTAACGGGGGCTATAAAAAAGTAAAAGGCGCTTCTTCGAACGAGGAGTACCGAGATTTTTCGCCGCTAAACTGCGCTGTTTTTCCTGATAAAGAGGCGCACGCTGAGAGCTTAAGGAGGTTGCTTAGATATGCTTGACTGTGGAGCAAGAGAAAGAGGAAGAATAGAGGAAAGGCGGGGAGGTTAACTCAACTACACGCATTTTGCTACCCCACACCCGGGAAGGGGAATAAGGGAGTAAAATAGAAGGAAAGAGAAAAATTATCAGTGCGCACAACGTTTCACAACACACACATAGTACACCTTCTCACAGGTGATTGTTTAATCTTGTATCATTCAAAAACTGCAGAAAGACTTGTTCGGTTGCAAGCACGTTTAGTGAAAAGGGGGACAGTAAAGGGGAAAATGGTTCTGGGAGTGTCATTAAATGTTGGCGGTTGGCGCTTCATTATCATACCTTTTCCACTACCCTTTTCGCGAAATCTATTACGTGCCACGGCCAAACATACGTAAGCTAAAGTAATTTTTGGTGCGTAAACAGAGTATTAGGTTGGGTGTCATATGGTGCGTAGCTCAACGAACGATTAGTACCAGAAAGGATTAAAGAAAAAAACGCATACGACGACTCTATACCACACATTTATCGTTAATCTATGCTACCAGCTCACCCAAGTTAATACATCGTCTAAGCACGTTTCTTCAACCCTGGGCCCGGTTGTATGCCCTCTTTATTTCAACCAACAACCATCCTATGCTGGTGTCCTATGCTGTCTTTTCCTATTTTACTTGGACTACAGTTTGCGCCTCATATCTTTCGTAAACAGCGGGGCTCTACAAACCCGAATAATTTCATTGCACCATTGTTGAACCATTGCTGAACCATTGAAGTTGCACTATTGCTGAAAGAAAAATTGAATAATTACTACATTTTTTCACCCAGTACAAGCTGTTCATGGCACAAAATGACCTATAGTGGGAACCGGGAGCTTTTGCGTTAATTCGGTAGCGCCTTTCGAAGTTGAAAAGAACCCTTTCTCTGCATAAAGAACCCGTTTTCTGCATTTGGTTTGCTAATCGCAGTACAGTGAAGCGTGTTTTGAATATAGGTTCTATAATAACGTACGCGTGTTTATTTGATTGAAGGCACGTTACACGTGACAGCGGGATGTTGACAGTTTTACCTGAAGCGGACCCACACTTGTCTCGCACAGGTACACTCGTACAATAGACGTTGCGTGAACCGAACCACGTGGCACACGTGGGTGCAGTTTTGACATATGTAAGTAACGCAAAACCTACAGAGAAGTAACGGGACAATTTTGCCTCTTTTAACGTGCAAAACAATGGTGACCTATACGCAGTATTGCGTTTTTCAGTTGTTGTAGGAACCTCTTTACGTGACACCCGGCGAGTTAACCAGGGCGTTTCGGGTTAAATTAGTCGGCTGTGTATGTCGTAACACGTCTCCCGACCAGCGAGGTACACTTGCCTAGAGGAAGGTATAGTGCAAGGTATAATAGTTAGTGTTTACATTGAACTATAAGTGTCCGAGTTGACAATTCCGTCCTTACTGAGTTTAAATGGCTACTTTCGCATATGTGCCGAGGTGGATAATCGTTGTGTAAACCAGCGCGAAAAGACACCACACAAGTAGGAAGGAATAATTGTACTCGTTAATTAGTCAGTAGCTGTTGTCTTTTCGATTTGTCCTTCATTTATTGCACCCTATATAAGTGCGCTGATTTGCACGTAAAGATTTTTAGTTGTTGAGTTGTCCAGGGACTGAAGAAAGTTCATCATGCAGTCTCACTCGGAAACACAGATTCGGATAAATTTGAGGAATTAGCGTACTAGACAACCATTCTCTTTACACGCGGCATTTCATTATACCTTTGAAAAATCTGCCACTGCCCCACAAAAAGACGCTCTGCGAAACATGCTGCTTCCAGGGAGCGCATGTCGCTGGAAACGAGATTTTACCAGCCGACAGCCGTAGCGTTCGGTTCAGTTTCAAATTGTATAACTGTTTTTAATGTCTAAGAAAAAGACTGTTGCATTCGGTTGATATTGGAGCTGGCGCTTCGAATACAAATGTGTCCGTTCGTAATTTACTTGTAGATGATCTCGTGCGTCATCATCTCCGTCAAAGTTCGTAGAACCATAAGTAAACATACACGCTTCGGACACACATTCTATTTGTGCCATTTACTTACCTAGTCTGTAGAAAATACCAGAAAACGAATGTTCAAGTTGCATTTCAGGAAATTTTCTCGTCATCTGCTTCCTGGCGTCTACATCGCCAATTCGCTGAATGCTAGACTACAAAACCCTTAACCTCAAAATCTTCTTGAGCTGAATATTTTTGTCAGAGAATATATCCGCCGATCACGATGCGAAACTTCTAGTTAGTGAAATCGGCTGACCAATGGGAAAACGCACTCACGATGAATGAGTATTCTGAATTCACCCCCTAGACGAGTGTCTATCGTCTCAAACACAATATGCATGAAAGGAGATGATTTATTCGTGTCGTACGGTCGTCTATAGGCTCCTTCACATTTTCGTCGAGAGCTAGTGTTATGGACAGTATCACTACGTCACGGCTGTGCCGACTGTTTTTTTTTCTCTCTCTGATTTGACGTAGTAACTTAGGCGTCCCGCTGTTAACCTCGAGGACGTGGGCTTGATTCCCGACCATGGCGACCGCTTTTCGGCGAGGTTTCAGTGCGAGAACACCAGTATACGCGTTGATTGAAGTGCACCTTACAGAACCGTAGGTGGTCGAAGCTAATCCGGAGATTACACTATTGTGTTTTTCTCAATTTCATCGTTGTTTTAGCACACGAGGAACCACATACTTGCAATAAATTGCACGTATTTTTTTTTTCGGGGTACAGTCTGCGGCCGTGCAACGTGTCGTTGCGTTAACAACGCTTTTTAATTCTCCCAGGAATGACAAGCGTTCATTTTTGCACTTTGCCACCGTTTGCTTCCTGATACGGATTATTAGTCTGCGTTGTCAGCATCCATGGCTTGGGAAAGTCACGAACTTCTTTATTACCGCCCAGTTGTACTCCCCACGCGCAAATCTACAGGTTACCATTGCCCTATTCGCTTTGCAGCAGACGTTTGCTGAAATCAATGCCGCATGCAGCAAACTATGGCTGCTCCACTAATCCGCGTTGTGACAGCGCTGCGCGCACGCACAGACGGAAAGTGACGCGAAAATGATTCTATCTTTAGGCGCTGATAATGCCTGCCCCGCCACGGTGGCCTAGTGGCTAAGGTACTCGGCTGCTGATCCGCAGGTCGCGGGATCGAATCCCGGCTGCGGCGGCTGCATTTCCGATGGAGGTGGAAATGTTGCAGGCCCGTGTGCTCAGATCTGGGTGCACGCTAAGGAATCTCAG